TTTCACTCGTAATAAACTTAATGCCAGAAAAACTATTAAAAGAATGTTATTTAATCAAACAAAAGCTAAAAGCTAGTAAATTTTTTTTTTTTTTTTTTTTTTTGATTGGCACTCGAATGTTCGAATCAAAACCCAACTAATCCCTAGGGGTGCATAGGCCCTTGGTAAGGAGTTTCCCGCAAGTGCATCACGATTAATTCAAAAAATTTCTCCTAGTCAGATGGGTTCAAGGAATTGTTAGTACCTTAGAGGTTTTGATTGTTGAAACTTGGAGGGGCAACCCCCAAGATCCAAGGCCTTGTCACAAGGTCAACCCCTTGGTGTTGAAAAGCTAGCAAAATTTTAAGAGCACCGTTATAAAATTAAATTTATGGAAACTATTCAAATTTTCTCAACTAGAAAAATTAAAATTCCATTGCAATTTTTTAGTCAAGAACAATATATTAACTATAAGCAAATCACATAAATAAAAAAGAAACAACATATTTAAGGCAGTGTGTGCTATTCGCTTATTCATGCAGACTGTCCACTTATTTGATTCCACTAAATATCAAAACTAAGTTTGTAAGACAGAATCATATAAATTCTTGAAACAAAAATTAATTTCCGCAAAAACAAACTGTTGTTTATTATCTGCTCATTCTTGTCTTCATAATGAAGATCCAGTGATCCAACTACTTTATGAAAAAAATTGCTGTATTTTATATTTTTCAGCCAGAAGCCAAATCTTACTGCAATCAGCACATAGGACATAGAGTTTAAACTACTGAACAAAATTATTCCAAAATATGTATTATAAGTGGGGCTTTGTAAGAATTGACCTTAGAATTGAACCGAGTTCTATTGTAGCAGAGGAATAGCCACCTACCCTCATATAACAATAACATGTGCATGATAATTCTCCGTAGAATACGATGCAAGAACCTACTTCATATAGTAAATGCCAAAACCAAACCACAACAACAGAGAATATTAGAGCCTTGGGTTTAAAAACAGAGAATCCCTAGGGAACAACGCTGGTCTTAAACCCATGCAAGAAGGTAACTACACTAGCAAGAATCCTCTACACCAAACTCGTCTTGAATTCTACGAGGATGTGTTCTCATGCAATCTTTTCTCCCTAGGTTACTCCCACAATCACATAGACCCAAACAATCAAACAATGATATGCTGCTCAGTATAAACCCTTTAAAAATCATCCAAAAGTTTCAACAAACTCAAATTGACCTGAAATCGCGTACACCAGCTCAAACACTCCCGAAAACATATCAGAGAAGAGAAGAAGAAAATGGCCACTGTTGCAGCTGAAATGATGCTTCGGTGTGTCTTTGATGGAAGCTTGTCAATGCATGATGTGGAGATTGAGAGGAAGCCATACCATCGCAACTGCACCTGTGCAATGCACAACTCCAAAGGTCAATGTTCCACTGCCAGCTCTGAACACAGGAGTATTTCATTCCCAAAAAAAGAATTACGGAATGAATGTGCATTGTCCATGACAGCTTCCAAGTTCTCTTCCCAATCTTCTTTTCTCAGTGACTCATAGTTAGGAGTAGAGAAGATACAGATCATCAGGCTTTGAGTATATGATACCTGAGGTAAGGTTTGAAATAATCCAGTCATCCTCCAGATTACAAAAGTTGTCTAGAGGATTGACTGCATCTCTTTCATCCGTCTTCCTTTATGTACATTCTAGTGAGTTCTATGTAATTAAACACCATATCCTAGTTCCATCGTCTTTGATAATGCTGCAAAACAACCAGGCTACTGGATTCCTTATGGCACATGTTCCTAATTTTTATAGGTCATTTTGTTCACAATGGAGTGAAACTTTATAAATTTTGCAGAAGCAAAAAGCAAAGACATGAGTCTCGATCGAGTCTAAATTAAAAACTGCCGACAACATGACAACATTAAAATTTTGCAGAAGCAAAAAAAAATCTTCATCAACTTTGCAATTTTCTTTGCAATCTTACTTGGAATTTTGTATACAAAAAGTAGACTGGGATCCACTCAAAACCGCCTGTACCAAAGCATATCTCCTCCATTTTGATAACAACGTTCTCCTCCAATAGAGAAAATAAAAAATGGAAAAGAATAAAAGAAAGAAAGAACATACATCCATCTAATATAATCTTTTGTTTTTTTAATTATATTATTATATATTTGTCATCACTATCCTCCTCTTTGAAATACATTCCTCGACCTCCTCACATCAAAACATGCATTTTATTACACTGCCTCAAATTTAGAAATTGACCCTAGTTTTCTATTTTTTAAAAACTTGACACGACACATTTGTTGTCAAATAATAATGTCTGAAATGTAAAATTGTCCTTGCAAAATTAAGGGTAAGGTCTCGGCTCTTTTTTGGTTACCTTTTAATTGGAGACATAAATCTCATCATTTTTTTATTTTATTTTTTTTTATTTTTTTTGGTGTGTTTGGAAATAAATTATGTCGAGTTCCAAGTCAACGTCAAACTTGTTTCCATGGTAGGAATTGTTAACAAGTGAACGCTTTGTAACAGGTACACTTGCATTTCATGGGTGAAATGACTAACATTCCACTCTGAACCATGTTGACACTACCTGCATAACACACTTCGTAGAATTAGTGTTCTACTTCTTAAATATATGTTAATCATTAGGGTGATTCTATTTGCACCATTGTTTTATCTCAGTACACTCGATCTTCTAATTGCACCTTCTAAAGAAATTTTAAATGGGAAAAAGTATCAGTTTACATTCTCCATAGTACCAAACATACCCTCATCCCAAACATTACTTCTTCTCTTTACACCCCTTCTTTTTCTCTCTCCTCTCATCCCTCTTTTTCTCTCTTTCCTTCTCTCTTTTCCATCTTTTTCATTCGGCTCTAGCCAGCCAAATGGACCAAAATTGGCAAAAATGGTGGAGGTGTTGGGAGTTACAGAAGGGTTGAGAGAGTGAGAGAAAGAGAAGGGGGCAATGGTTGGTAGAGGAGAAGGGGTCACACCCCAAATCCGGATATAACCGGCCGTGGCCCACAGGGCCTTAGCCCAAGGCACTCGTAAGGCTAAACATGAATCCATAATCACATTGAACAACTAAACAAAAGTCCAATAATAAATAATCAAACTCAATCTAGTGACATACCACAAGTGTAAACGGCAAAGCCAACCGTAATCAATACTATCTAAACTTATGGGATATAAACAACTCACATATCAAAATAATCCTTGTGGGGGCCGAATAATTATATACTAAGGAAGGCCAAGAAATTTGAAGGCATCAGGCCAAAGGCAATTCGGCTATAATCTAGGGGCTCTTAAAGCCGAATATACAGATCGGCCATATCAAGAGCCGAATGGGAACCAGTATGCAACCAAAAGGCCGAGTAAGCAATCAAGTGCGAGATAAAGAGTGGGCCCGACCCTTGGGCCCAAAGGGTAATATAAAAAGAGGAACGTCAACAAAAGAGATGTATGTGAGAATAGATAAAATAACTTGAGATAGAAGTAAACTAGAGAGAAAATACTAACTTGTCTGTTGGAGTGCTAATTCCAACAATCTCGACCGGAGTGTACATCCCTTTTTCAGGTAGAAATCAGAGGATCAAGGACGTCTGATTGAATCTTGGAGTATTTCTAAACCACTTCTCCACAATTGGTGCCGTCTGTGGGAATACTCAAGCTCATCTATGCGGGCGTAACAGATGATCCTCCTTTAGTTGCTGGCGACGTTACACTAAGAGATGACATCACTCTAACAAACATGCTTGGACCGGAAAATATCAAAGCACGCTGGGCCTTGAACTTCGACTCAATAGCTCAGACCTCACCTTCAAATTCGGTGCAAGAGAGAATGCAGACAATCATGGATCAAGCAAAACAAAATGAACAGCGTCTGGAAAACATGATGGTTGAGAACGAGCCCTTGAGCCAGGAATTGGCCTTGGGGCTATCCAAATCCCAGCAGACCGCATGCCATGACCGAGGTCGACCCCTAAGAAAGAAGGATGATTGACGACGTCGATTTCGGAAACACGATAATGATAGTGATTTTGACTTGCCATCCCAGGAACCCAGAAAGAAGGGACGAGTCGATGTTTCCAGCTCATCCGAAGGAAGTCCGTATGCACGGCATAGGCGAGGGAAAAGAAGTGATGATTCGGATGAAGAAAACAAGCATAACCATTTTGTGCGACGCATCGCAAGGGCTGTGCTACCCAAGTAGTTCAAAGCACCATCGTTCACCTTGTATGATGGAAAATCAGACTCCGTTGACCATATTCCTCATTATAAACTAGTGATGACACTGCACGCTGATGACGAAGCCCATATGTGTCGAATGTTTCTGAGCAGTCTAGGACCACTAGCCATCAGACGGTACTATAAACTGGAGCCGTCATCGATAAAAAGCTTCCATCAACTCCAAAAATCCTTCAGGGTAAGATTCATCACCAATGAAATCCAGTCAAAGCAAGCCAGTTCTCTTTGGGCAATGCAAATTAAACATGAAGAATTCATGAATATTCAGCACGCTATTGGGAATTTTTTAACATGGTAGATGATGCCTGCAACGACTCCATGCCCATCATCGCCTTTAAAATGGGATTACATCCTGATAGTCCCCTCCGCAGTTCGTTGACCAGAAGGTCCCCCAAAATAGTTTGGGCGTTAATGAAGAAAGTCAAAGAATATTGTAAAGTGGAAGGCGATGCCATGCGGGTTAAAGCCAGACAGAAATTCGTTAAGACGGCTTCGTCTGGAATCGTTCAGCCAATAAGCGTCGTGCCGTCAAGGAGCCTCGAACCGCAAAACCGGGCTAAACGAGACAAAAGATGTGACTCGCGCCGATCAAGCGATCAGTGTTCACATCGATCAAAATGAACAATATCAAGTGGATAGCAGGCGCAAAAGATGCTTGGACAAGAAGTACATGGAATTAGCAGAGTCGATTAGCAAGATTTTGTCAAAAGTTCAACACCTTCCGTTCTTTAAATGGCCACCCAAAATGATGGGACCTCCCGATACAAGGAGAAGGAACAAACGGTGCGAGTACCACAAGGACCATGGTCATGACACCGCCAATTGTTATGCATTAAAGAACCACCTAGAGGAGCTGGTACAAGACGGCCGGCTGGCGCAACACGTCCAAAAGAATAATCCATCGAACACGGTAGCCCTACGGCCGGATTCACCTCCACTTGGTGTAATTCACATGATATACAACCTTCCGTCGTCAGCCAAGGTACATACAATTCAGTTGCAACCTAGCCTACATAAGCCAATCACACCAGCAAAACGGCGCCATGAAACTAGGAGGATTAGTTTCAATGTCACCGACTTAGTTGGAGTAACTCTCCCCCACACCAATCCCCTCGTCATCGAGCTATGCGTAAACAGATTCACCATTGAACTTGTTCTCATTGATCAGGGAATCACTTCGAAAATCATGTATTACAAAACGTTTGTTAAACTTGGCTTCACTAACTTGGATTTGTCGCCGACCGACTACCCATTATTCAGCTTTAACGCTAGCCCCAAGTATCCTTTGGGCAATATCACACTACCAGTTCGGGTGGGCACCAGATCAGTAGATGTAGAATTTATGGTTGTCAAACTTCCGTCACCATACGATCTCATCATGGGAAAAATTTGGTTGCATACCATGCAAGCTGTGCTAAGCACCTACCATCAATTACTTCTTTTTCCGACTGACTATGGCATTGAACAAATTCGGGGTTCTCAAAAATTGGCACAAGCATGCTACCTTGTTGTTGCTGCAAAGAGACCAAAAGAACTGGAAGTGAATTCGATTGAAGTACCGAATCGAGAGAGCTTCAAGAACATTGGGAAGATCCCCAGTGAAAAGGCAACTTAGACCTGGATCTGGTCAAAATTAATGGGAGTCCTGACAAGTTCTTCATGATCGGCACTTCCTTAAATGAAGTTGGCAGGCACAAACTTGTATCCTTCTTACTCGGCAACCTCGACGTGTTTGCGTGGACACCAAACGAGATGCCAGGGGTGGATCCATCTGTGGCCTAGCATTGCTTAAATGTTGATCCAAAATGTAAGCCAATCATTTAGAAAAGTCGGTGGTCAGTCGCGGAGCATGCTTTGGTCATTGTTGAAGAAGTTGACCGATTGCTTGATGCCGGGGCAATTCACGAAGTAACCTATCCTACATGGTTGTCCAATACCGTGGTTACAAAGATGAAGAATGGATCTTGGCGTGTTTGTATGGATTTCATAGATTTAAACAAAACTTGTCCCAAGGATTGTTTTCCCTTCCCCAGAATAGACTAACTCGTAGATGCAACGGCACATCATCAACGCATGAGCTTCTTGGACACCTAAAGAGACTATCATCAAATTGCCATGCATCTGGAGGATCAAGAAAAGACCGCATTCCTCACCCCAAGAGGAACCTATTGCTACAAGGTCATGCCTTTGGGGCTAAAGAATGCCGGGGCAACTTACCAGAGACTAGTTACTGCCATGTTAAAGGAATAGCTTGGCCACACCATGGAAATATACATCAACGACATGGTGGTCAAATCCAAAGAAAAGCATGCCCATTTAGCTGATTTGGTAGATACGTTCGGCATTCTTCAAAAGTACAAAATGAAATTGAACGCCCCAAAGTGTGCATTCGGCATCGAATCCGGAAAATTCCTCGACTACATTGTTAGCCACTGCAGAATAGAGGCCAACCTGAGGCAAATCACAGCAATTCTAGAACTTGGTTCTCTTCGGCGGTCAAAGAGGTTCAAAAGCTAATCAGAATGGCCACTGCGCTCAACAAGTTTATCAGCTGTTCCACAGATCACTGCCGACAATTCTTTCACACACTTCGGCAAGGCAAAGCCTTTGAATGGACCCCCGAGTGCCAGGCCGCTTTGGATGGCTTAAAAACTTATCTCCGATTAGTACCACTCTTGGCAACCCTCTCGGCAGGCGACCCGTTCATTTTGTATCTGGTGGTATCTGACCAGGCGCTCAGCGCCGTACTTTTAAAAGAGGAACTCAGAGAGCAGTGACCAATTTATTATGTAAGCAAAGCACTGGCCGATGCCGAAACACATTATCTACCATTGGAAAAGCTCATCCTTGCTCTCATTATGGCTGCAAGAAAGCTGATGCATTACTTTCAGGGGCACACCATAGGTGTACTAATGGACTATCCCCTCTGGTCAGCACTCCGTAGTGCAGAAGCATCAAGGCACATTTCAAAATGGGCTTTGGAACTCGGCCAGTATGATATCCACTTTTTGCCTAGAATTGCCATCAAGGGGCAAGTGCTCGTCGACTTTGTAGCCGAATTCACGGGATGCCTTGCCGACTTCAAGTCTAATTAAGTGCAACCTAAACCCAACTAGAGAATATATGTTGGAGACATTTGGCAGATGTACTATGATGGGTCATCCACCCAAGGTGACAATGGGGAAGGCGTAGCAATCATGACCCCCCAAGGGGCAATAATCGAGCAGGTGGTCAAACTGGGCTTTGATGCATCAAATAATGAGACCGAATATGAAGCATTGCTAACCGGCCTTTGGAAAGAACTTTACCTTGGTGCGTCACGGTTGCTTGTTTTCTGTGACTCAAAACTAGTCATCAACCAGTTAAAAGGGGAGTATGCAGCAAAAAATGACCGCATGGTAGCCTACATGAAAACGGCGAATTCCTTGCTCGCCAAATTCAACCATCACGAATTGAATCAAATAAGCCGGGATCAGAACACGCATGCAGATGCCCTTGCTTGCCTAGCCTCTGCCATCAATTCAGAAATCAACTAGAAAATCGAAGTAGGATTCATCCCTGAGCTGAGCATTATCTCTTCTGAACCAGTTTAGATTAACATCATTGAACTAGGACCAAGTTAGATGGACCCTATCGTTGCATTCCTTTCCTCAGAACAACTTCCAATAGACAAGAAAGAAGCCCACAAACTGTGAAATAAAGCCCTAAGATACTACTTGGATCCGCTTCAAAAGCTCTACAAAAAATTCCTTTCTAGGCTGTACTTAGAATGTGTTCACCCAGATAAAGTTGAGGAACTCTTAACTGAAATATATGAAGGTAGCTGTGGTGCCCACTCTAGAGGATGCTCATTGGCCCACCATGCCGTAACATAGGGATATTATTGGTCGATCATGCGAACAGACGCCGAGAATTATGTCAAGAAATGTGAACAATGCCGAAAGTTTTCCCCTTTAAGTCATCTGCCTGCCGAGGAATTAAGCTCTATCACTAGTCCTTGGTACTTCGCTCAATGGGGACTCGATATCGTTGGACCATTACCACGAGCTCTAGGGAACAAGCAATTTTTGATTGTCGCAATAGATTATTTTACAAAATGGGTTAAAGCAGAGGCCTTAACACATATTCGAGATATTGATGTTAAGCGTTTTGTATGGAAAAAACATCATAACATGATTCGGCATACCAAGAGCACTTGTCTCAGACAAAGGCACCTAATTTGATTGTGGCGTCTACCGAGAATTATGCAATATGTATGGTATTCGGCCTTATTTTTCCTCGTTGGCATATCCACAAACTACTGGTCAAGCGCAGGCCTCCAATAAAGCCATCTTGGACGACATCAAGAAAAGGTTGGAAAAAGCTAAAGGCAGTGGGTCAAAGAGTTACCCAGTGTGTTGTGGGCTCATCGCACTACTCCAAGGCGATCCACTGGGGAAACGCCGCTCGCCTTGTGCTTTAGAACCCAGGCAATTATCCCTCTAGAGATCGGCCTACCCACGCTGAAATCCAAGGTTTTTGACATGGGCCATAAGGACATGATGTTAACCTTGGACTTGACTTTGATTGAAGAACACTGAGATCATGCCCTTGCGTGCATGGCACAATATCATACCCTAGTAACGAAGAACGGCCCTCAAAAATGGATGAAGGGGGAAACAGACTCTGCCCTTAGCGATTGACAGGAGAGAAAAGATGATCATACTCGTATCAATCCTCTCCATGTCAACTACGCTATCTGCCACAAGTGACAGATGGATGTTATCTGGAATGGAAAAGTGGCATTGAAAAATGGAAACATGGTCCACGGAGAGAAGAGCTTTCAAATGTTTTGCCATTCGAATCAAAATGGAAAATATGATAAACTAAAAAAAAACAAGGAAATGGGAGTTGGAATGAGGAAAAAATGCAAAGAAGAGAAGAACTTACAAGGTATAGAGAGAACGACAATAAGGAGCAGATGGCAGCTGCAGAGGTTGCGAAAGAGAAAGAGAAATGCTAAGAGGTAACCAAAAAGCCTTGAAAATTCAAAAAAAAATATTCGAAGGGACAACGCAGTTTCATATCACATTAAATGAACAACGCGTACGAAAGGGTGGGAAATTGTAATGATTTCTAAACCGTGGTCATTCTGACACTTCGGTATTAGAAGGAGTGCAAGTGTAGTATTTTTGACTTTCTATATATTAAAACCAAACATGCCGACTAATTGGTGTTGGTCGGATGTTCGGGGGGCAATTGTGGGGGCTGAATAATTATATACCAAATGATGGCCAAGAAATTTGAAGACATTAGGCCAAAGGCAATTCGGCTATAATCTAGGAGCTCTTGAGGCCGAATATACAGATTGGCCATATTAAGAGCTGAATGGGAACTCGCATGCAACCAGAAGGCTGAGTAAGCAGTCAAGAGGGAGATTGTCACACCCCAAATCCGGGCATGACCGGCCGTGGCCCACAGGGCCTTAGCCCAAGGCACACGTAAGCCTAAACATGCATTCAATTTCACCTTGAACAATTGAACAATAGTCCAATAATAAATAACCAAAACTCAATCCAGACATGTCACAATTATAAACGGCAAAATCAACCGTAATAAAAAACCATCCAAACTTGTGGGATATAGACAACCCACATATCCAAAAATAATCCTAAATGAACTTCGATAAGAATAAATATAAATATGCACAAGCTTGACATAACACTCTAAACTAAAGGAATGCCCTAGAGGTCCATGCAATTGAGTCCCCGCTACGCCATGAGTCCACTCTAAGTCCTTCTAACACCTGGAAGTGATAAAAACTAAGTCAGCTGATAGCTCAGTGAGTAGCAACATGGATAGTAAATACAGTTTTGAAAACAGGGTTCAATTTCAAAATAAGATATATATCACAGAAACTAGATTGGCATACAGTTTGGTAAATATAATCTGTTTCAAAAAGAAGGTTCCACAATTCAACACTTAAAATACTCATGTCTCGCAAGAACATGATAAACGACATTTTTCACTTAAAACAGATTATAACATGAACACTAATAATTTTTTGGGTACCAATAAAAACAATTAATCTGCCACACATTTCTCAGGCTATAAGCCCCGTTGGATCCAAAATCGAACTAAGAGTCATCCTCAGGGTGGCACCTGGGCCTTTTCTCAAAGGCGATCCGATTGAAGGTCACCTAGTTGTTTTTAAAGGTCTGTTTGCATGGCACAATATCATACCCTAGTAACGAAGAACGGCCCTCAAAAATGGATGAAGGGGGAAACAGACTCTGCCCTTAGCGATTGACAGGAGAGAAAAGATGATCATACTCGTATCAATCCTCTCCATGTCGACTACGCTATCTGCCACAAGTGACAGATGGATGTTATCTGGAATGGAAAAGTGGCATTGAAAAATGGAAACATGGTCCACAGAGAGAAGAGCTTTCAAATGTTTTGCCATTCGAATCAAAATGGAAAATATGATAAACTAAAAATAAACAAGGAAATGGGAGTTGGAATGAGGAAAAAATGCAAAAAAGAGAAGAACTTACAAGGTATAGAGAGAACGACAATAAGGAGCAGATGGCAGCTGCAGAGGTTGCGAAAGAGAAAGAGAAATGCTAAGAGGTA